TACTCGATTTTCTTTAAAATTTTTGACGCTCGGGCGACATATTGCGTCATTGCCTTTTTACTGTATCCATCGTATAGGTGTTGTTACTAAAATCACAACATTTCGGAAGTAGTTTCTGCTTTCATCTTCAGGGCAAACGAGGACAAAAGCCTGGTCTATGGTGTGATTCTATACCACCTAGACGATGGCTAACGCCAAACCAAACTCAAGAAATGGCACCTTAATCACAAAGTATACAATTATCAAATCTTATTTGAATTTGTGATTTTGATTAACAGATGTCTGATATAATTTTTTTTCTACTTTCAGATACGAGCGAATGACAGACAGATTTCCAAATAGACGTAAGTCCTTTTTTATGGAATATTTATACAACTACTATGTTGTATCTGAGGGCTGGAAAATTTGAATGTTTATATGAGAGTCTGACTTCCAGTCTTGCATTGCTTTTCATTACAGTTTATCGTAATATTAGTAATGTAGTAATATTCTGCAATAATGCATTCAGCACATGTAATGGCGTTAGACTGAAATACGAGTAAATGTGATTTAACGTCATATTGTTCCAACTAAGGTGACGTAGATATTTTTCATACCTACGTGCCTGATAACAGCATGTTCATATCGATATATCACTCAAGCAATGTGATTGGTTCTCAGAAAGAGGTTTCTTTACATCATCCACTAAATCGACTGATTTGTGTAACAGAAATTCGATTGGCTTTTTAGAGGTGAGAATCAAAATATTTAAATAATATGAGTAAAGATTAACTTCGAGTTTCAGATAATTAATATAAATGTAAAATATCGATTAATTTTGTAAGTAGCTACTTTTATATGAACATATAAACAGTAAGTAAGTGTATATTACTTTTAATTCCAGTTTTGTAAAATAATTTAATTTAAATGTAGTTGACGGTATACATTCGAAACCTGTTAAACATTTAATGAAAGGGTATGTTAAAAAAACAAATGCAGGAAGATCTTAGTCGGCAACTGCTGCATCTCATCTAAATTATGTACAAATATTCAGTTAGTATTTCTAGGATTACTCGTTTTGTAAAATTTAATGTTATTGAGTCTGCAAGTTTGTAGTGCACAAAAATTACCTCTTCTCATTAAATATCTAATATATACTGGACTGTAAATTTCGAAACTT